CTTCCCATATTTTGGATATAAAGGGAAAATATGCTTTTGACTTCACAGACAAAAGAAATAGAAGGACAAACATTTCTAGAAATGTGAGCAAACCCATATTTTGAAATAAGTATCTGCAGCCAATCACAGGATGCAGAGATAAACACATGGTGCGCATGAATGGTTGGACTTTAAATAGAATAATGTGTCCCATTCCTTCAGCCCTTACAGGTTCATTGGTTTACAGGGAATGAATGGGCTGGGTTTGGAAGGGATCCTATGATGAGCTCAATTGTGTATAAGTACACATCATGTGGAAAAGCCAAAAGGCCGTCTGAGCTATAGTCAAGTAGCCAGTGCTTTTGTTCAGCAGGGAACAGACAGTATTTTGAAATGCATGTTGCTGTGGACTCAGTCATACCTAGAAGTTAACCTTTATGTTGAGAGTTTTATTACCATTATTTTAAACTATTTACTTACAAAAAACTGTTAGCTAGAACCTTAACTTCATAGCTTACTTGCTCTACTACATATCTTTGAGAGAGAAAGAAATCTTTGAGCCAAAGCTGAGCAAAGAACTCTACAGGTGCACTTACTTCACTTGCAATGTCTCTGGAGGCCTTGGCCATCCTGATGGGAATGGCATCTATCCGCATATCATAGCCTTTCTTCTTGGCTTCTTCTAGGCCAAGTTTATAGTGTTTCTGAAATAGACATAAATCATCGTAAGTTTGATATATAAAGTGCAGTGCAAGAAAAAATATATCATGCACCATGAATACATTGCTTACCTCACTGTAATTTATTTTGTTTTGTTTAGCAAGTAAAACTTCAGGGGTGTCTGGCATAATGTGGACAGTGGTTTTATCTTTATCCCAAGCTTCTGTATAGAGATGCTGAAAGAAACAAAAAAAGGATGTGACTAGTACAGGCCAGTGATGAATCTGGTTCTTAATGAGAGTAAAGAGAGCCCACTCTGTGAGTCAGTACTTGTGACACCTTTACGTCTAGGTGTCTCATATCAGTAAGAAGCACAACACTTACTTAAAAACCACTTTAATACCAAGCAAAATAATTGAATGTGATTTTTTCTTTTATCAAAACAGATTTCAGTGTTTACATACACACATACAAAAATTGATACCCCGCTCAGGTAGAAAAAGGACTTACGTGGTTCATGGTAATAGCGTTGTTTTTTGCCAAAACCATTGGGATGGAATCCATAAGGCTGGAAAATGTGAATTTATCTGGGTGCTGACGGTAAACGTGGTCACTCAAAATCTGGGTAGCTCTCTTGTTCCTCTCATCCTCAAGAGAGCCACTAGGAAACCAGCCAATGCCTTTGAGCCACTGAAGGTCGGCCTTGTACAAATTCTGAAATTGTAAGTGATAAACCACTAAACATCAGCATAATGATATGCCTTAAAGAAATAAAAATTTGAATTATAATACATTGTATTATATTATATATTTCAATGCTTGGATTCTTGGGAAATTTAAAAATTTTGCTATGTCTTGTGAATCCACCCAATATTCAGATTAGAAACCTATTTTGAAAAACATTTTAAACAGAACATAGAGAATGACCCAACTCTACTAGATCAATAATCTAGAGGTTTCCATCAAAACAATCAGTGCTTTGCTGGTTCTTTCTTTATGGAAATAATGATGCTCTCAGATGTCTGTGTGACTGGATAGAGAGTGGGCGTTAGCCCAGGGAGGTAGAACTCAGTTGTATAAACTCAACTCCCCTGATTTTGGGGGAACTTTGATACTTAAGTAAGCAGACATGGTGTTTTGTTGGCCAAAGGAAAATCTTATACTCACATCACTCTGGAGGTCATAGGCTTGTCGAGCATGGGTGACATCACTCTGGTCAGGCAGGCAGGTCCACTGGTGCAGGTAGTTCTTGTAGTCTATGTCACTGACCAAGGCCTGGCAGTTCTTGGCCTGCACCACCCCCAGCATGTCCACTGGGCTGCTGAACTTGGTCTTCCACTTCTCAAAGTCCTTCTTGTACTCCCTGTCACTCTGGATCTTGGCCACATGCATGGACCACATCATCTTCGGGTCATCCTTCACGTCCCGGGCTCCAATGTGATGGCCAAGCTGCTTGCGGTAACCATCTTTGTATTTGTACTGAGATGAAAATGCACAAATTAGATTTTTATTTTAAGCCCGTAGAGGTCACAAGCCTGTACAAAATCATCTTGCTTATATCACTGTTGTACGTTGACTTTTGCTAATAAGCACTAACTCAAGGCAATATCCTACCTTTCCCCTAGAAGCTTATAGAGGTAATAAAATAGATGGAATTCATATAATTGTAGTGTATACCCCAAATCACCTATGGCCTGGTAACAAGGAATAGTTCTGGGGGCAGCAAATGCACACAGCGGAGAGGCCATGTGGACCAAGGGACTTGGAGAAATGGGTTAGGCACTAAAAGTACATCAGAAAAGAGATGCACTTGGTGACAAGATCTGTTTAATAAGTAGTAAAATGCGTGTCTGGCTCCTTTGAGGATGTGTCAAGGTCATGGACTACTTGCAGTAGCAACAGAAGAGAATTTCCTGTTTCATAATGGATTCAGGCATTCGGTGGTGGTGGCAAATTTTGGCATCATTTTGGAAACTGGTTATACTAGGGAAGCTGACCTAGCAGCCCAGTTGCTTAGAGCATGCTCCTAATGAAGTCATGGGTTCTCATCTCTCATGGACCAACAGTGTTGTTATTATTCCATGTCCAAAGACGTTGTCCTGGAATCTGAGCCAATTTTCCAAAATACATGCTTCTAGTCTCAAAGATAACTGAGTGAGAAAGTATAAACGAGTCAGCAGAGGCAATATAGTACAGTGAGAAGGAATGAGGTTGATTGGAGTTTCAACTCCATCACCTACTAAGAGTTTGATTTTAGACAAGTTGCTTAAGCGACCCATAAAACAGGGATAATCACAATCTTACATCCTAGGGTAATTATGAAAAATAAGTGACATAATGCATATAACATTCTTAGCACAGATTTCTCAACACTTCTTGGTTATTATTATTTTGTTATATATTATTATTGGCATATATCCATTTGTAGGAAAGGTACAACATACGTAAACTAAAGTGAGTCACTAATATGATCTTCCAAAATAAAGGGCAGCGTATTACCATATTCCCAAATAGTGGGTCTTGATTTTTAGAGCAGTGGTCTGTTCCTCAAGAATTCCCTGAGGTACCAGAAAGGGATGATGGTTTTATTCTGGGAGTCACAAGCCACAAGCCAGGAGCTAGTGTTAAGGGTGCAAGTTTGGGCTAGTCTGGCACTGATCAACTGCCTTCTTTACATGATTTTACAAGGGTGAATTGTAATGGCAAGTGTCATATGCATTTTTTGAATATTGTATATTAAAATGCTATATAAAGCTAGGCCCTGATTCTCACTGGGAGAACTTAAGTTTATGAGTCACACTTTCTATAAGCACTGTGACAATTTTTATATAAGCATCTCCAAGCCTGCAGCTACACTCTAACAAATTCCACATGAATGGATCTTTCTCTGTTCTTGGTGGATCTGCTTTCACTGAATATACTGTGACTTAGTGGTTATAAAACTTTTTTGTAAACATCAAATTTTTCATTTCCCTCAAAACTAGGTTTTTGAAAAACCCTACACAAATACATCAGGATATATTTCCAAAGGGCCAGGAAAGTTCTTTTAGAAGATTTAGTTCAGTGAAAATGTCACTTCAGACTGACCACATGCTAGGAGTAAAACTGACAACTCACATCACTGATGATGTCCCTGGAGGCCTTGGCTGCCACAATCGGTATGGCATCACTTCGCAAGTCGTAGCCTTTCTTCTTTGCTTCTTCGTTGGCGAGTTTATACAGACTCTAAATTGGGGCAAAAAACAAAATCAGTTACATGTTGACATTCATATCCAAAAACGACAGACGACTAAAATAATTCACCAAGTTCTACATGGGTAGGTGCCTGTAATAATGTCACTTTTGAGAGTTCAAAGCTTTCTGCGGTTTTGGCTGAAGTTGAGACTTAAACATGATACCTATATGGAATATGGCACCTTTGTTTTTTTATTTTAAAACTTATGTTACATTAACCATATACAGATATTATTCATGGTTTTAAAACTTTTAGTTACAACAATGAATCCGTTTTGGAAAGAACTGGAAAAATTAAGCTGAAACTCATGGGCCTAAGGTGGCAAAATGTGGACAGAAGGGACACTCATTTGATCCACATTTATTCTGCACTGACTCTGTGCCATGACTGTGCTTGGTACTTGGGAAACAAAGATGAATATGAGGCCTCTCCCATCTTCAGGGTTTCTGGGAGAACTGATGGAAAGGCTGATAACCTGCGGAACAAGCTGCCGAAAAGTCAGACCATGAAAGGTGCTTTAACCATATTATTAAGAAAGAGCTCCACAGGACTTCCCTGGTGACGCAGCGGACAAGACTCCGCGGTCCCAATGCAGGGGGCCTGGGTTTGATCCCTGGTCAGGGAACTAGATCCCACATGCATGGCTCAACTAAGAGTTTGCATGCCACAGCTGGGGTGCCTGCATGCTGCTACTAAGAAGCCAGAGAGCTGCAACTAAGGAGCCCTGGGGCCGCAGCTGGGGAGCCTGGCTGCCGCAACTAAGGAGCCCACGAGCCACGGCTGGCGAGCCCACCTGTCACAACTAAGACCCCATGCAACCAAATAGATACATAAATAAGTAAATATTTTTAAAAAAAGAAGATTGAATGTTTAAAAAAAAAAAGAACGAGCTCTAGGAAGGAGCAATTTATTCTGAATCGAAAATCAGGAAGTTTCCTCAGAGGGCATGACCTTGGCATTGGACCCTGAGTGATAAATATGGTTTCAATAGACTGAGATGGTGGTCGAGGGCAGAGGAACTTCCATGAATCAAAGTACGGGGCAGTGAAAGTGCAGGGGCGTCAAGCGGTGGGGGTGGGGGGGCAGTGCCAGAGGAAGTGGCAGGACAGAACTGAAAAGAATCGGGAGTCGGGCTATGAAGGCCTGGTGCTAAGATAACTTTGTCCTTAATTCTATAGGAAAAGGGAAACCAACAACAATCTTTGAGGAACAGTGACATCATCAAATTTCCATTGTATCTTCCTATCCTAAACGAGAAAGAAACACAATAGAAATGAACTAAGCTGAAAGAGAAAGTCAGAGAAAGCAGACCAGACGGGTTAGGCAATCGGTTCAGGCATTCTTCCTGGGCCTCTTCAAACCAGGGGCAACATACAACATCTCTGAGCTTTTGCAGCAAAGACAGAGTTAACAGTTCCAGAAATGCTGAGTGGCTAGTTACAGGGACCCTTTGTCTCTCAAAATATCTGCTCATATAGCACACGCTTTCCTGTAACACTATGGGACCTATAGTGCAGGTTTAGCTGAAAATTCACTTATTTTTGATTTGAGAGTGGGACTTGACAATTTTAGTTTGGGGTGACAATTAAGAGCTAGTTATATAAGCATTAAAATTATAGTTTGCACCCCTGAAAAATAAAATGACTTATGGTGGTGGCTAGTCAATCTAAATTCTCTCAGTTATATTCTGCAGAAGAGTAACACGCTATTGATTTATGCTGTCAAAGAAAGAATATTTTCCTTGCTGGTAGCACAAAGCTGGAAGAAATAACTAATACATCATCTGACAGAATCTTAGAGTCACAAAAATCTCCACAGGCTTAAACCAATAGGCTCATTCTAAGAAAAAAATGCAGAGAGATAAATGTCAATCTTTGAACTGAGATTTAAGTTGAAAAATGTATAAATACAAGATAGAGGAAACCTAGTTTAAGCCCATGTAAGTTGTCTTAGGGTTTTGGTTGAGCCCAAGTCCCACGCACACCAGCAGTGACATAGCCCCAAGGAGCCCCAAGGCACAGAGTGCAGAAATGGAGGATAAATGTCCAGAAGAGGAAATGCAATGTCGACTGTACCCTACACTAGTCATTCCTCACCCGCAGGATTTTGTTTGGTTCTGAGAGTCACATTCCAGCAGGGATGTCATGTGAGGAATGCCCAGGAGCTTGGGATGCTTGGATTATAAAGACAACCTGGGGTGAAGTGGCAGCACAGGCACACAGTGCCTATGGAGTTGGCACAGTTTGGTTCTGCATGGTCTTAGAGGATTATGTGGGTCTACAGAGAGAAACCATTGACCCAATACATGAAAAGCATCTTCTAAAGGAACTTTCCAGAACAAATAGGTTAATTTATGAGATTTATAAGCACCTCGTCACTGAGAACACTTAAGCGAAGGCAGGATGACGACCTATTGGGCAGGGACTCCTGCACTAGAGGAGACTGACCTCTCAGCCTAAACATCTGTGCTTCTGATATGGGGGCACACGGCTCTATGCTCACAGAAAGCAAACAGGAAATGGGCTTGCTAATATATTTATATATTGACAGATCCTCTCTGTCTCTGTCTGTCTGTCTCTAAGTGTTATTTGAATGTACTGTGATTTTAATCCTTGACTTAAATCTTGTACATTAAAAATCTTAAATTTTGACCCTAGAGTACAATTTAGGAAAAATAAGTCATATGTGGCAAATACATTTAGCACAGCTATGTAGCATAAGGAAGAGATAAACGTATTTTGGTCTATTGCTAATTTCTTAAATTAATAAAAGAGGAAGGTCTAATTAATCTTCTGGTTACTGCTTAAATCATTCATTCTTATAGCTTGCACTTCCGAAATGATAATATGTGTTACTTGAAGACTGATGTTTAGGTAAGCGAGAAATGAAAGAGTTGGTATTCACACGGAGCAAGAAAAGACATTCTTTACAAAGTTGTCATTTAGTATTACATCACCATAGAATGGATTAACTGAAATATGAAACACCATGCAAATGTCATAGAATTAGCATCTGCTCCCACCTGACTGTAGTTGATTTTGTTCACTCTTGCCAGCGTAATTTCTGGTGTATCCGGTGCGATGTGGATCTGGGTCTTGTCTTTGTCCCAGGCTTCCGTGTATAAACGCTAGCAAGGAAAATATAAAATGTCATCAGGAAAAAACTTCAGTGTATTGTTAATCGAAACTTCAAGGCCATAAGAACTTTATAAAGAGAAATAACAAAGGTTACGTATTTTATACACATTATGTATTTTTCACGTATCTTCAAGTAAAGTAACCAGTTCATAGTAAAACAGATATGTATGAGTGCCTTCTGATACTCTGAGTTGTATGTTAACAAAAGGAAATTTAGAATATCCTTTATGCAGAGATGATTTTCCATAAAAATGTACCATTTTATCAAAACCATGAAATAACTACTGAAGTAAATGTTAAAATATAAATGACATAGACATTAGGTAGACAGATATGGATAGATATAGATAGATAACAGACAGATATCTTTTGTTGCTCACTGCTCTATTTCTTTCTTCTCCTGAACATGCTTCTTTTCCTTTGGTTTAGCTTTAGGAGTCCTACCTTGGTTCTCTGAACTCTGAAGCCTCACCTTGTTCATAGTGATGGCGTTGTTCTTGGCCAACACTTGTTCCAGAGAATCAGTCACACTGGTAAACCTGAATTTGTCTGGAGGCTGGCGATAGATTTTATCACTCAGAATTTCAGCTGCCCTTTTGCATTGTTCCACATCCAAAGAGCCAATGGGAACCCAGCCGATGCCTCTCAGCCATTGGAGATCTGCCTTGTACACATTCTGTTGATACAAATAGCCAATAAATATTTATCTCTGGTTTGGGAAAACATTTTCATCAGAAGGATATGAAATAAAGTAAGAACACTCTTGAAAACGTAGTTTGGTGGACAGGCAGGGTATCAGACAATATTCCTTTTCGGTCTGGAGGGTTTGACATTTAACACTCACAGGAAAAGAAGAAATGTTATGTCCCACTTGCAGGGGCTGGTGAGTTTGGTGCCACTTATCCAAGGGGCGTTAATTCACTGATTTCCCACCTTTGCACGGCATTATGATCCTCAGTACTCACGTCGCTCTGGAGGTCATAGGCCTGCCGAGCGTGCATGACATCGTTCTGGTCGGGCAGGCACGTCCACTGGTGCAGGTAGTTCTTGTAGTCTATGTCACTGACCAAAGTCTGGCACTTCTTGGCCAGCACCACCCCCAGCATGTCCACTGGGCTGCTGAACTTGGTCTTCCACTTCTCAAAGTCTTTCTTGTACTC